ATACTAATACGTGTCAGTGGTGGTGTTTTTGTCAATGCCCGAGTGCATAATTTAACTACCTGATCTGCGTAATGCACTACTTATGAGTTGTACGGAGGTGCCTTTCATGAGGGACCTTGGCGATCGTATCATCAATACCAATGCTTCTCGGTGCACAGTGAGAGAAACATCTAAAACAACTTACTGCATTGATTTCCACCTCATCGAACCACACGTTAACGCACGGATGCTGTAGTACTTCGTCAACGGAATTGCGGGGTTCTGGGTTTATGAGAAGCATCTTCGGCAAGACGTCCCTCGCTTCTTTGGCTTCAGAAGTGGGCCTACTGTACCGCAATACAACAGTAAATGTATTTTAAAATAAAATAATATCATTACATTGCATTCAGGTGCAGCAAACTGTGTCACTAGCTACTGATGGTATTTATATATGTTTACAATATAACTATTATACGGTGATGTAGTATAGGACATGCATTACGTGTTCATACGTCGTGTGATGGCGAACATTGTATTTTTATTATTTTGGGCTTACATATCATGTCTGCTAATGATTATGCTGTACGTGGTATCTGAAGATTGTCTGCGTAACATGAGGAGCGTTACATGTTTTTTTTCGCATGCTTTGTATGTAATATAAATATCTGCCGTGCCAAAGGTTGGAAACAACCTCCTAATCAATTAGCCTACCTTGAGCTCTCGAATATTAAATAGAAAATAGTGTAAGTCACCAAGAAGAGCAGACAATAACCAACAACATCCATGAGTCCATACTTTTTCCTTTTTCTTCTTAAGGATGCTTGTCTGTATGCTATTTGGGTTTTAAAGATGTAGATTAATTTAGTGAAAGTGATGAATTCATTCGAGCACTGTTTTGCTATTCATTTCTACTTCATACTTGTTTTCTAGCCCCCCCCCCGCCATCGCGGTACGACCACAGCATCGATAAGCAGGAACATACCGTCGACGAGTGACACTAGCTTATATTCAAGGAAACAGTCTATGAAGCAGCGCACGACGCTTATGGTTTAGGCATTAACAAAACGAGTACAAGTGAATTTTTTGAGATCGATTTTGTTTGACTATTGGATTATGGGTATTGTTTTTGTTCCTTGTTTACTTTGGTTTCTTTTTAGCTGAACACGATCTCAACCAGAACCCCATCAGCGGTTACGGCAACAACGTGCCCGTCAATGGCACCCAGCTGCGAGACGGCAGTTCGATCCGTAGGAGGCCAGTCTGAAGCAGGGCTGTGTTAAAGGTAAACTTAACGAGCCCCTAGACCGTCCTTTCATCTGTTCTGTCGATTGGCCGAAAGCGAAATCTGTTGGTGATTAAAAAACTGCTGCCATCGTCTTTTCGTCCTCGACGAATATCTCGTTTCGTTTTTTTATTTGGCGGCGAATCGGCAGGACAGAGAGACGGATGGAAGAATGCTTGATCAATTAGCCGGTAGGAAGGAAGGTATGAAGAATCAAAGTGCTGCTATGCACGCTGTTTTGATTTAGTCCAATTTTGATTATTACACTATAAAGCGGAATAAATTATGATGAATTTCCAGTCGGTTGAGCAGTTATACTTTTGAGACCAA